TTCTTCCCCTGACTTTCCTGCCCAGATGAAGACAGTAATCTGTCCCCCTCCCCACTCCGGGACCTGCCGGGGGATCTGGAGGGCCAGGAGGAAGAGGAGGAACAGAGGTGGCTAGATGCCCTGGAGAAGGGGGAACTGGATGACAATGGGGATCTCAAGAAGGAGATCGATGAGCGGCTGCTGACGGCGAGACAGGTGAGGAGAACCAGCTAGAACCAGATGTTTGCGGGGCAATGAGAGTATCAGTGGGACAGGGACGGTAGAGGGCTGTGGTACTCTTGTGCGTGCTGAGGGATGGTAAATTATTTCCTTTTTGTGAATCGGGATCTTACTGCTTATCGCGGGCCGACCTGCAACACACAGAGGTCTGCTTGCCTTTGCCTCCCAAGTGCTGGAATTAACGGTGTGTGCCACCACACCCAGCTCAGAAGTAATTTTTACCCACTACAGAAAATAGGAAAGACAGAGACTTTAGGGTAGTTGTAGGGAATGGCTCGTTGCTGTTTTACACTCGTGTTAAAGATGGTCTTTATTTATTTTTATTTTATGTGTCTGAGTGTTTGGCTGCTGCCTGCCCATGGAGGCCAGAGGCCACCCGAACTCCTGGAACTATATTTATAGACAGTTGCGAGCTGCCATGTGGGTGCTGGAAATTGAACCAGAGTCCTCTGCAGGAGTGGTTTTTCCAGCCCAGGATGCCTCTTTGAAGAGGTGACATCCCCAGTACCGGAAGCAAAGAGGCCAACTTAAAAAGGCACAGAAGGAAAGTGTGGCTAAGCCACCAGTGGGCCATATGCAGACAAATACCATAGCTGACTTGAACTTGCAGCATTGTTATGTGGGGCGAATCTGAGCGGGGGTAAGGAATTTACGTAGGAACTGCCGTGGAGGCTGCGGTGGGTGGTGCATGCCGGTAATCTCAGAACTGAAAGAGAAGGCTGGCTACAAATCCCGAGCCAGCCAGGAACACATCTTGAGACCCTGTCTCAGTCAGTCAATCAAGAGAGGGCGTGGGATGTGGAGAATAGGAGAGATGGTGATGGTTGAGTCAAGAAGCAGTAACAGAATGAAGAAGCCCCCACCAAATCCTGGATATATTTTGGAAGTAACTCCTTGCTAGGAGATGACTGGAGAGAAAAAAAAGGAATCCAGGGTAATTGATTTTTTGGTTTGAGCCAAATCCAGCAAAAATCTACACAAGGGTGGTACAAATTGGGCATGTGAGTAGGCTGGGGATAATACTGATGTTCTCTTTAACACTGAGCATGGGAGGAGCAAGTGGTATTATGGGGCCCCCAAAATGGGCCTTTAATTCCAGCATTTGGGAAGCAGAGGCAGGAGGATCTCTAAGCTCGAGGCAGGCCTGGCCTACATAATGAGTCCCAGGGCAGCCAGAGCTACATAGTGAGACCGTCTCAAAAAAACAAAAATGAGGGAGGGGGATGTGATTCTCTGCCTTCTCCGTCCCTTTCTCATCCCACGACTTGCGGACACCCTCACTGTCTTTTACCAGCGAGCCCTGCTGCAGAAGGCGCGGAGTCAGCCGCCCCCCATCCTGCCTGTGCCGGTGGCTGGGGGCTGCCCGGCCCCTGCCCTCACGGAAGAGATGCTGCTGAAACGCGAGGAACGGGCGCGGAAGCGGCGGCTGCAGGCCGCAAGGCGGGCGGAGGAGCACAAGAATCAGACGATCGAGCGTCTCACCAAGACGGCCGCTCCTAGCGGGCGCGGAGGGCGCGGGGCAGCGAGGGGGGAGCGGCGCGGTGGGCGGGCGGCCGCCCCGGCCCCCACACCCATGGTGCGCTACAGCAGCGGGGCCCAGGGCTCCACTCTGTCCTTCCCTCCCGGCATCCCCGCACCCGCCGCGGTGGCGCAGCGGCCCGGCCCGTCGAGCCCCGCTCCGCGCTGCTCTGTCCCTGGCTGCCCCCACCCACGCCGTTACGCCTGCTCGCGCACCGGCCAGGCCCTGTGCAGCCTGCAGTGCTACCGCATCAACCTGCAGCTCCGGCTGGGTGGACCCGAGGGCCCAGGGTCCCCCCTTCTGGCCACTTGAGGCCTCGCCCACGCCACATTCCTCCTGTGTCCTCCACCCTATTAAACTGCGTGCCGTGCCTCGGCTTGTGTGCAATTGCTGGTGTGGGAAGCCGGCCGGCTCCGAACCTGCGCGGTTCACCCAGCCAATCGGCGGTAGCTCTGTGACCCCGGGCGGCCGTTCATTGGCTGACAAATCCAAGCTTGCCCTGCCGTCCGTACTGGCTACTGCTGCTGTCAATCAGGGCCTCTGAGGAACCTTCCCCGTCTTTGTCTGTGAGAGTTCTTGTTGTCCGGGAGAGCGGCAGAACCGCTATTGCGGATTGGACAGCGGGGGAAACCTGTGACCCGTCCCCATTGGCCAGTCCGTCGGTGAACGATCCTGATTGGTTGGGCCTAGCAAGCCTCGTCCTCTGGAAGAGCTCTCCCGGGATGGGAGCTCCGGCTGCGGAGTGATGGTGGCAGCCGCGGAGATGGGCCGGGCAGGGACCATGGCGGTGGCGGCAGAGGTGGCAGGGGCGGGGCAGCTGGCGGTAGAGGAGGCTGTGGTCTGCAGGGGTCTGTAGGTGGAGGCATGGCCCGGGCCAGCAGCAGGAACAGCAGCGAAGAGGCCTGGGGGGCACACCGGGCACCGCAACAGCAGGTACCCAGCAGCTCGAAAAGCCTATCACGACAGCCATTTATTTCTCTTTCCCCTTTCCTGTCACTTCCTGTCCGGGGTGGGGGAGGAGCTCACGGAACCAAAGGTACTATGAAGTTCCTTACCATGACCGATCTACTCTTTGTCCAAACTTTGTAAGGTAGACGCAGTTGGCTTTGCCTGCAGCCTCTTAGACCCCATGCCGTGGCTGCAGTGGCCAGTGGCTTTTCAGTTCCCAGACATGTAGTGAAGACCCCAGGGAGTTTCCCTGCGTGCAGCGGTTATTTGTGATGTTTTCCTGTGTACCTATTGTCACGACAGAGTCCGGAAGCGTCTTCTCTTGAGGGAGCAATTTGGAAACGAGCTGGAACCCAGACTCGCGCCCTGGACGCCATCCTTTATCATCCACAGCAATCCCATCTGGTTGGGAGCACTGCTCTGGGTCTCACACTGTCCCTCCCTACCCTAGGGAGCTTGAGACCCAGGGGTGGAAAAGTCCATCTTGGGGCTTCGGGAGGCAGACCTTTGTGGTGGGGGATGTTGAGAGCATTTTAGCTTTGGAAATGGCCTTAAATCCCTACCTACCCATTGTCAGATCGTTTTGCTTCTTCCAAACCACTACCTTACCAAGACCCGCCCTTGGGGCCAGGCTTATGTGAGAGAAGTCTTGGGTTAGAAGAACTGAAATCGCCTTCTTTGTATATCCACACTTTTATTTTCTACACTGGTTTCTGGCTATTCCAACTCTTCCATACTGACTGCCCTTTATATATTTAAACACCCTCTTAGCGTCCCATGCCATCTTTCCAAGCTGTGTTGACTCATGGGTGGGGTTGTGTGTGTTGATGCAGGAGGCCAGGTGGGCAGGGGTCTTTCTAGGGTAGAGTCTCCCCCAGTTCTGAGTACCTCCTTGCCTCCAGCTTCAGGAGCTGTGCCCAGGAGTGAGTACCGAACCCTACCTCTGTGAGAGTGGCCACTGCTGTGGAGAGACTGGCTGCTGCACCTACTACTATGAACTCTGGTGTGAGTCTCCAAAGGGATCCGTCTCAGGTCCCCTGCCCATCCTCCCTTGGCTTCCTGAAATCAGCTACCGAGCCCCTTCGCTGCTTGTGGCACGAGGCAGGTAATCTGAGGTGTGCTCTCCTTGCGTCCCGCAGGGTTCTGGCTGCTCTGGACAGTCCTCATCCTTTTTAGCTGCTGTTGCGCCTTCCGTCACCGGAGAGCTAAACTCAGGCTGCAACAGCAGCAGCGGCAGCGTGAGATCAACTTGTTGGCTTACCACGGGGCCTGCCATGGGGCTGGCCCTGTTCCTACTGGTTCGCTGCTTGACCTTCGTGAGTGACTTGAGGCTCCTGGGTGCAGAACCAGTAGCCCTCCCGAGCCAGGACCTTCAGCCGTCCCACACTTGCCCTAGCAGACTTCTGCAGGCACGCTTCCCCCGATAGGAGAGATCACACTTGTGGCCCCAGTCCTTCAGTCACCCATGCTGTTCTCTCCTGCAGGCCTCCTCAGCGCCTTCAAACCCCCAGCCTATGAGGACGTGGTCCACCACCCTGGCACACCACCGCCTCCTTACACTATGACCCCGGGCCACCCCCTGACTGCTTCCGGCGAATGCACCTGCTGCTCTTCCGCACCCAGCTGCTCCGCCCACATGGAGGGCACAAATGTGGAAGGTGTTTCCTCCCACCCGCGCGCCCTCCCTCTTCAGGAGGGTGAGCCCCGGGCAGGGCTGACCCCAGCTCACACACCCCCTTCCTGCCGCTATCGTCGCCTGACTGGTGACTCAGGTATCGAGCTGTGCCCTTGCCCTGACTCCAGCGAAGGTGAGCCAGTCAAGGAGATGCGGGCTAGTGCTACCCAACCAGACCTGGAAGACCCAGATTCTCTGTCCCAGACCCCTTCCTTGGGGCTGGCTTCCAGTTATGGGGACATCCCATAAGTCGTTTCAAGAGGAAGGCTGGGTGTTGCTTGGCCACCAGGAACCATCCTGGCTTCAACTGCCGTGCTCCTCCATGTGGGCCCCTCCCCCTCCTAGAACATGCCTGGAAGGGCTGAAGCCCTGAAGAGGGGCAATACCGAGGACTGTGCTATCTTTACTCACTCCCAGAACACAACACAGGAGCCTTTAATCTCATTAAAGAGACGTGAACCAGCTGCTTGTGGCTTCGGGTAGAGTAGACCCCAACTTACTGCATGCATGCTAGCTGACCACATGGGTTTGAAGGCAAGCAGAGACCGTTCATTACCTTACCTGAGGGTAGCAGGGAGCCCTGAGGCAAAACTGCCAAAGGCAAGATTTAGTTTGGGTGCTTTTTTTTTTTTTTTTTTAATTTTCCAGTTTATTTAGAAAAATAGACTCTTGAGTTCACATTCACCCCAGAGCTGTATGGGATGGAGAAGGAGACACCTGAGACCAGAGACCTTGTCTCTCGGCTTGCAAGTGACACCAGAGGCCCAGCTTCTGTCCAGTCCCTTCAGTACTCCTCAGCCATGATCAGTAAGACCAGGCTTGTCCATCCGTGGAAGGGGCGGCAGCCCGAGCCCCGCCCATCCTGGTCACTGTACTGCTCCCACAGAAACCCTGTAGTCTGGTACTGCTGCCATATGTTGCTCACGACATTGGCACGGAGTTCATGGTAGAGCTTGGAGGCCTGAACCTTGTGGGGACCCTCCACACGCCCATAGTGGTGGAGTGCCCCCAAAGCTAGGTAGTTGATGTTCAGCCACACAGCACCCCGCCAGTAAGGGGGGTCATGCTCAGAATTGCGCTGTCTGTAAAAGAGACTGGAGGCTGACAGGGAGCGCAACCCAAACGGGCTCCAGAGATGGTGGCTGTCAGCCAGGACACTTAGCAGGGGCCCCAAGCGGGGTGAGCGGGGGTCCAACAGTTGTAGCAAGAATGGAAACAGCGAGACATAGCCCAGGGCATCCACATACTGCAGCCGAGGCGGAGGCCGGCCCACCACCCTGACCAGCCCCTGAGGAGGCCTGGACTTGAGCTGTACCGCTTTTGTGTGGTTCCCAAAGTCAGCAAAGACCCCCAGTTCGGGAGCCCAGTGCAGCTCGTCCAGACTCTTGGGTTCTTCCAGGGAGGCAGCCAGAGGGCCCAGCTCTGCAGCGGCTTCAGCCTCCCCAAGCTGCTCCGCAAGCCGTGACAGCACTCGGGCACCCAGTGCCACCCAGCACCGCAGATCCAGGTGCCGCTCCGCTGTGGAGGGGTGTGAGGCCCTGGGGTAGTCATCCAGGCCGGACGGCAGCGTTTTAGGATTCAGTAGGGTAGGCAAAGCCAGGTCCCTGCCTCGCCATCGGTAGGATAGTGGCACCGGCCCTGCCTGGCTTTGACGGAGCCAAGTGAACCAGGCATGCAGGCGGGGAAACGCCTTCCGGAGGAAGGCCAGGTCATCAGGGTCGCCGCCTTCTAACATCCGCAACACTGGCAAGAGCAGGGTTGGGGGGTTAGCGTGGGCTGCACGCTGCACTAGGAATTCTGGGGGCACTCGGGATCGGGCCTCATCCCCCAGTATCTGCTCCCGCCCGATCCATCCATCAGCATTGAGCAGCCCCAGCCAGTGGCCCAGGGCCTCCCGGGTGAGGCGGGGATCCCATCGCTGGACCACTAGCTGGTGAAAACCTTCATCCCAAAGGAAGCCTCGTGGGAAGAATGACCGGGAAGGGACTCCAGAGAAGAGAGGGACGGGCGGGAATAGGGCAGGGTCCACGTTCTGCTCAGACCCTTCCACTCCAGTGTCTGGCAACACCAAACCCTGCCCATAGAAATAGCCAATCCCACCAAGGAGGCCACTGAGGGCAACCTGACCCAAAACCTGCTCCTTGGGGCTCAGGCCCTTTCCGTTTAACTGGAAGGTCCTCTCAAAACGCTCCTGGAAAGCTGCCACGTGTCCCTCCAGGGCCCGGGTCAGCTGGCTGCCTGCCAACGGCCCGAGGGCTTGGTTCCCTCCCGCCTGGGCACTGCCAGACTCAAATATGAACTCCACAGAGAAGGGAGCTCGCAGGGTCACCTGCTGTATCAAGAACTGTCCTTGCCCACTAGGGCCTCCGTCCTCCCACTTCAGAGACCCAGGCAAGCCGAGGTAGCGGTCAGGAGAGGCCCCTGGTGGCCGGTGCCGAAACCAGCTGTTCAGGCGGCTGGTCACCACATCTGTGAGCAGCGGCAGCCCAGGGTTGGAGGACCAGAAGACGTTGTAGCTTGAGGGCAAGAAGACAAATGGGAAATGTTACAGGGAAAGGGAGGTCTTGGCAGGCCCTCTAGTGGGGAATGGCCCTTCCCGTTACCTGGCATGCTTAGGGACAGTGTCTCCTGGACCCGTTGGTGGCAGAAGTGTAAGACGGAAGTCACCAAGCTCACTGGTGTGGCCACTGATGAACTTCAGCTGCCCTTTGGCTCCAATCTCTGGTAGGAGGACTTCGTGCCCATCTGTCACCACGTAGAAGAACAGGGACGCCAAAGGGAGGGAAGAGGTACCCGGGGCCTGCATGACCAGCGACAGCAGTAAAGCATTAGGAAAGCACTCTCTTGAGACTCAGCAAAGACTACGAGGAGGGACGGCAAGCATCTGTCGGTGCCCGAGGGTTAGTGGGTACACTGGAGTGGGCCGAGCTAGATAGAGGGCCCTTAACAGGGTTCCCCGGCAAAGCAACGTGGCCGGCGTTTTAGAACTCGATACGGATTGTTTCATTTAATCTTGTGGTGAGTTAGGTGTCACGGTGACAGCTGCTTTACCAACAAGAAAATGAAAGCTTGCAGACGGCAGGCAGACATGGTCCCCCAGGTTGGTGTCCCAACCGCTGTTGACCTCCGTTTCACACCGCGCCGCTGCTGGGGGGGGGACGGGGGGGTGGTGAGGAGGAGGAGGAGGGCCCTGATGCCCCGACCTGCGGCTCCACGGTCACTCTCCAGCTCCAGTCCCCTCCGTGCTGACCCCCGGGCCTCTTGACGAACTCGGTGGTGAGCCTTAAGGCCCCGTCGCTGATACGCTGCCGGCCGAAGGCGAGGCCGTCGTGGAAGTCCCAGCCATAGGGGCCCACGCCGTCGCCCTGTTCACACGTGTGCCTGAGCTTAGGAGCGGCCCCTGGGGCAGCGCCCTGCTGCGCCCACATCAGCCCTGGGGAGCAGAGCGGCCGCGTCAGTCGGCAGGCGCGGCCGCTCCTCTCCCTCCCCGCGCGCGCGCGGCCCCGCCGGCCGCCGTTACCCGTGAGCAGTGGTCTGGGGCTGCGAGTCTTCATGCCGAAGTAGACGTGGGGACGGTAGGTGCCCCAGAAGAGCTCCGGGGCCACGGCGGGGCTGGAGGAGCCGGGGGGCAGCGCGGGCGGCGCGGGGTGCAGCGTGAGCGCGCGGCGCGCACGGAGCCAGGCCGGGACCCAGCGCCCCGCCAGCCCCAAGGCCAGCGCCAGCGCCAGCGCGGCCAGCGCCGCCCGGCCCGCCGCGCGCGCCCCGCCGGCCCGCCGCCCGCCGCCCCGCGCCCTGTCCTGCGGCCGCGCCCCCTCCGCAGCCGCCGCGCGCCGTCGCCTCTCGCCGCGGGCCATGCCGGCAGCCGGCCCCGCTCCCCGGCCGCCCGGTCCGCTGAGCCTTCCGCCCGCGGAAGTCCCGCCCTGCCGCGGCAGGCCCCGCCCCGGAACCCGGAAGCGCCGGGGCTGCCAGCGCCCCGGACCGAGCTGTCCCCGCTCCGGGCTGAGCGATCGGACTCCGGACCCAGCGATCAGGCCCCGGACCGAGCGATCGGGCCCCGGGATATTTGATTATATTGTATTGTAAAAAGATGTATCGATGTGTTTGGTTTAATAAAAAAGCTAAATGGCCAATGTCCAGGCACGGAGAATAGGCAAGACTTCCAGGCCAAGAGAGGAGCTGGGGATGAATCTAGGCGTGCAGAGGAGATGCCAGGGTGCACAGAACAAAAGGGAAAATGTAGACTGATACACATGGGTGAATTTAAATAAGAGCTAGTGAGACACGCCCAAGCTAAGGGTGAGCTTTCATAAGAAGTCTCCGTGCCATTATTAGGGAGCTGGCTGGAGGGACAGAGGAAGACTCTGTACACCTGGATGCACTATTTTCATTCCAACGTTAACGACCAACCTGCTATCCTTATTTGAGGAACGAGAAAGTGGGCAGTGATAGATTTTCCTGTCCCGTGTCATGGGTATTTAAAGGTAGAGATGACTGGGATTGACATCCTCACAGACTGGGTCTTTATAATACAGTCTTCAGGGAGTTGTCTTTTGCGGTTTACCACGTCAGAGGAACAGCAGGTGGCAACTGAGCTTCCGGAGTCCAGCCCACCAAGAAGCTCGAAACTGAAGGGTGAATGCCGGATAGGCAAGGCCAGAGGGCTTTGGCTCCACAATGTCCGTTACTGCGGTGCCTTCCCATGTTTGCTGGTGGCTTCTTGCATTGTGTGAATGGGTGGGGGTGGGGGGATCCCCACTGCCTGCCATGTAGTGTGATTGTCTCGTGGGACTACCCCATTCTATTGTGCTTTTTAACCTGTGGCTTATTATGAAGATTTCCTCTAAGGTGTACTGTTTAATTGAAGCAATGATTTTTACAATAATAGTGTCAGCTTAAATAGGGTTTTGATGACTGAGGGTTTTTAATAAATATAGTAAGGAATTATGATAGAGGTTAGTGTAGCGGGAACTCTAACACATGCAAAGGTAGGATATAGTGTTGACACGTCCCACCCCCACCATGGTAGAGCAGGGGCTGAGGAGGGTAGAACAAGGAAGTTTCTCTTGAGGAGCTGTACAGAATGTGGCTGACTTAGGTTAATGATTAAGAAAAACAGCTGTGTCCCAGAAGCGAGGCTAGCTCAAGTTCTCTTAATCTTAATGTTGGGAGATGTGTTCACAAGTTTCAGTGTGCATCATAGCTAAAACAAAGCTTTAAATAATGACTTAAGGTTAGGTTAAGACGTCTTCAATGGCATTAAGGTAGAAAATCCTGGGGAACAGTTTAAAGTTTACAAAGACACACATACCTACACATACCTCTTTTCTTTCTCTTTTTGTTTTTTGAGACAGGATTTCTCGGTAGCTTTGGAGCCTGTCCTGGAACTCTCACTCTGTAGACCAGACTGGCTTTGAACTCACAGAGATCCACCTGCCTCTGCCTTCTGAATGTTGGGATGAAAGGCGTGCACCACCATCGCCAGGCTTCACATACCTTTCTTGCTAGGATGGGTTGGTAATCAAAGGTGATGATTAATTCCTTGTACCCATTTTGGCCCTCAGCTTCTTGATCCAATTTAATAAAAACTGTTGAGTGGGTATACATTCTGAGAACTTAAAGTAGAAATGACGGTTTTTCATAAATAGAAGTTTAGATTTTTTTTTTTATATAAAATTACCTTTTGATGTCGGGCATGGTGGCACACACCTCTAGTCCCAGCTACTCGGGAGGCTGAGACAGGAGGATCGCTTGAGTCCAGGAGTTCTGGGCTGTAGTGAGCTATGCTGATCAGGTGTCTGCACTAAGTTTGGCATCAGTATGGTGACCTCCCGGGAGTGGGGAACCACCAGGTTGCCTAAGGAGGGTGAATTGGCCCAGGGTGGAAACGGAGTAGATCAAAATTTCCTTCTGAGACAAATATTAAAGTGATTGATTCTTTGTAATTGCAAAATAAAGCCTGGCAGTAAAAACACTGGCTGAGAAAAATACCTTGCTTGCTTACACTCTGTAAACCTGTAACAAGCTGCTTGGATATGAGTGTATGTGGGTTCTTGGGAATAATTTGGTTTTTTACCTATAATACATAAATGGGAACACGCTGGTTTTTACTCATTATAATCATTCACTTGGAAAACAGAACGCAACCACATTGTAATTGTTATACTGCTTGAAAGATTTTGCTGGTACATAGGAGCTGTAAAGGAAAATGAAAGAGATGATAGAGACCCTGAAGTGTGTTCTCTTTTTCTCAGACCCCAAAGAATTAAGTTTTACTCCCTCAGAAAAGTCAACTGAGTAATTAGTCTGCATACGCACTCCATGGCTACCTGCCAATTCCTGCGCTGCTGAAGGCTAGTCTTCAGAGCAGCGGTCTTTCTTAAAGGATGATGGAGAGAGAATCCTTGGATACCCTTTTAGGCAGGGAAGAGTTACAGTGTTGCTGGGGGAGGGGACTCCACAGTTACAGATTTGGTAAACTACATAGCAGACAGTATCTAAGAGATCTCGGACTGCCTTAGCTGGGCATTCTTGACTTATTCTCTGGCAGCAGCTGTATCATCTCCCCCCGCCGCCCCCCAATAATTCACAGTAAGGAACCAAGGGGCCAGGAAAGTGAACTAGTAATTTAAGCACTTGCTGGGAAACCATGAGAAACTGACTTGAGATCCAGTATACCCACATAAAAGCCAGCTGGGGTAGTAACCTCAGTACTGGAGAATGGAGACAGGGGGTCCTAAAGACTTGCTGGCTAGTCTGGCTGAAAATGATAAGCTCCAGGCTCAGTAAGATCTTGCTTAGAAACAAAACAAAAGAGCCAGGCATTGGTAGCACACACCTTTAATCCCAGCACTCAGGAGGGAGGCAGAGGCTGCCAGATCTCTGTGAGTTCGAGGCCAGTATGGTTTATAGAGCTAGTTCCAGGACAGGCTCCAAAGCTACACAGAGAATCCCTGTCTCAAACAAACAAACAAACCAAACAAAAAGAAAAAAATAAAGAAACAAAACAAAACCGATGGAGCATGGGAGAGGAATATGTCCTACTTTTGGCTTCCACATCTGCTAACACAGGCAAGTACACCTACTGTACGTACTCACAAAAAGAAACGATGGAAATAGCTGGGTGGTGGTGCACGCCTTTAATCTCAGCACTAGGGAGGCAGAGGCAGACGGTCTCTGTGAGTTGAGACCAGCCTGGTCTACAGAGCAAGTGCCAGGACAGCCAGGGCCACACAGAAAACCCTGTCTCAAAAGACATATAGAAGAAACAAGGTGTACTGTAGCCCAGCACACACACACACACACACACACACACACACACACACACACACGAACACTGCCTTTATGTTATGAAATGCACGTGGCTATTTGCTTAAAACTAAAATTTCCTAAAAGAATACTCATGTGACATGAATAGATAACTTTTTTTTTTTTTTTTTTTGGAGACAGGGTTTCTCTGTGTAGCTTTGGAGCCTGTCCTGGTAATCACTCGGTAGACCAGGCTGGCCTTGAACTCACAGAGATCCCCCTGCCTCTACCTCCCGAGTGCTGGTATTAAAGGTGCACTCCACCACTGCCTGGCTTGAATGGATAACTTTTTATACCAGTTAATTCTCTACAATAATTTCATGGTCATCATCAATGTCTGTTAGACTAAAAACTGTTTCAGGTGCTGTGAGAAATGAGCCATATGTACTTAAAGGGTAAGATAAATGTCAGGAAAAAATGATTAGGGAAAATGACCCCAGGCAGGCGAACACAGGTCAGACAGGAGAATGATGCGAACAGAAGGGTCTTCCCTCCTGAGTAGCCACGATGGCCTGTGCCACCAGGTGGGGCTGATTCCATTTAAGGGAAACAATGTTGGTGGCTGGTGGCATTTGAAGGAAGTTGGTAGTGGGTAGCAATACAAGTTGACATTAAAGCCAAACAGAAATGTAGGGTTTAAGTCCAGAGTAGTTTTAATTATGACAGAATGCGTGGTTCTGTGGTGGTTTTAAGGAATGGCCCCCACAGATTCATGTACCTGAGGGCTTGGCCCATAGACAATGAATGGCTCTATTAGTAGGTGTGGCCTTGTTGGAGGAAGGGTGTGGCAGTCTCTTCCTGCTGCCTGTGGATCAAGATGTAGAACTCTAAGCTCCTTCTGCAGTACCATGTCTGCCTGCGTGGCACCAGACTCCCTACCACGAAGATGATAATGGGCCTCGGAAACTGTAAGCCAGCCCCCAATTAAATGTTTTTTTTCTTTATAAGAGTCGCCGCGGTTATGGCATGTCTTGCGTTCTGAAGCCTGGTGTGTGGATGACGCACGTCTATAACCCCAGCACTCAGGAGCCTGGAAGCCAGGAGACTCCTTTCAAATTTCTATGACCTTAGTTTGATACCAAGTTTCAGGTTAAGCTCATGACCTGAGTCTGTCTCAATCAACCAAGCAAACAGAATTTATCTGGCAATAAATATTTAATTAAAAGATACCTGGGTGGGAGATGAAGCCAAATTCAAAACATGGTTAAGCAATGGGGGAAGAGGAGAAAGAAAATCCAAATTTGTGCAGACCCTCCATCCCCTATCACCTAGTCTTTCTTACTTATCCTGCCCCGAAAGCACTGGCAAGTGTCAGGGTTTCCTTGCACGTCAGTCTGTTTCGTGACCTCCACGTAACCTTTTGAGTGGTTGCGCCCGGCTCTTCTTAGACAGCAGTCTTCGGCAACGTCAGCGCCGAGTGCCAGTCCCCGAGCCGGCCTTGTCTGCGCTGGGTGCTGCGGACGCTGCCGCCGCGTTTCTGGCCTGGATGTGGGAGGCCAAGGCAGTAAACATTTCCTGAGCGGTGAGGTTTGCGCCGCGCATAATCAGCCGATACCCATCTCCTAAGGAAGATGCAAACCGAGGGGGATGGGTCAGGGCCCCGGAGTCCGCAGGGCCCCGCCCGCCCGCGCCCGCCCGCGCGCGCCCCGGCCAGGCCTACCGAACAACACGTCCACGCAGGGCTCGGAGCCGTCGTGCCTCACGTCGGCGATCACCGAACAGTTGAGGTTTGTGGCACGGACTTTCTCGCTGCTCACCGCCTGGAGAAAGGTCCTAGGGCGGGAGGGCAGCGTGAGCGTGAGCGCGCCCGGGGAGCGGGGAGCCGGGGCGAAGGGGCGTGTGCCGGGCAGGGGGAGCGCGCCCGAGCGGCTTGGAGCTCGCGCAAAGGGGTGCGGGGGGATCGAGCGAGCGCGCCTGCCACCTCCCCGGGACACGAACCTTGTGGACTCCACGTTGTTCTCAAACGGGCAGAACTGAACTCGAACCAGCTTGACCGGACGCAGTCCGATGCGAGCCAAAGCCGCCGCCATCGCGTGGTTACCTCTGCTCCGGAAGTGGTGCCGGGGAATCGCTTTATTGGAACGGACCGCTTCCGGCGGCCTCTGCGGGACTTGGGGCGGCTTTCCTGCCCGGGCTGCCAAGGGTCCCGGAGTAGGTGGTCCGCAAACACTTCGGCCGCACACAGCGTAGACGGTGGATGTGCAATCCTCCCCCTCCACCACCTTTGCACGAAAACGCGTCCTCTGCCGCAGCTTCCCCCTTCAGCATCCTGCCTGCTACTTCTGGGTCCGCGCCATCCCAAATCCTGGCTCCTTCCAATGAGGGGATGGTTGTGCGCCCACCAGGAAGCAAGCCCACCCTGGCAACTGAGCCCCCAAAGACTGGGAATGGAACCGGGGACCCTGCACGTGTAGACATGCTCGCGCCGTCTGTGTCTCCTCACGAACTGACTTTAGCCTTGTTACTGGGATTCAAGAGAAAGCACGTCGTAGCTTGCTTCCGTCTCCTGAGAGTCAAGCCTGTAGACAAGCTATGCGCATCTAGCCCTTGCGTCACTGTTGCTAACTTTGAGACTTGGGGCTGTAGTTTGCCCACTGCTCTGGATTGCAGATACTAGCGTGGTCTTGCATTCGATTCCAGACTGCGTAGTTTATGTACGTGTTCTCCCAGGCTCCCAGCTTTTCAGCCTCTCCAACAGTTTTAAGCCCGTGACCCGGGCTTGTCAAGACCATGATTTGGAACTGCTGGTCCTATCTATGCGCACCTTAGGGCTCAGGACTCGTCCCCAGGCAGGAAAGAAAGGGCAGGTGCCAACGAGGATGCTGGTGCAGCCTCAGGGCAAGCCAGGCCTGCTGGTTCCCAGCCAGGTAAGCTTCAGGGCTAGGCCCTCCTCCTCCCCCCAGGGTGCTCAGCAGGTGCATGTTCCGGGTCGAGGAGAGTGCAGGCCGGAGGGGGGGAGCCAGGCTTTCCAGGCCGTTGAGGCTGCTGGCGGGCAGTTCGGTGGGGACTTCATTACAAAGACCTGGGAAGGCAGGAGTGGAAGGCAGGTCGGCGGGTGATGCTGGAAGTCAGCGGTGAGACTGGGGTGGGGGTGGGGGGAGGGCTGGGGGGAACCTGGGACTCACAGCAACATGGAGGCCTTCTGCGGACTGGACCCTTGCGCAGGGGCTGCTGCAGTAGACACAGCAGGGCCCCATCTAGCCGCTGGAAGATGCTGAGTGACAGCAGAGTCTGACGAAGCTCCCGGGCCAGGCCCCACTGCTCCTGCTCCAGGACCTCCCTGACCACTCCGAAGTCTCGCTTGAGCTGCAGCGCCCCCTGCAGGCTAGATGTCCAGGTACAATGTGGCCACCCGGACACTTCTGCCTCCCCGGGACTGCTCTACCCCAAAGTTCTCCATTTCTCCCGCTGCCGCTACCGTCCTTCCTTCCCACCTGAACCGGATCCCATGGGTGAGGATGTGGTCGAGCCAGGCACCCAGTATGGCTGTCAGTGCCTGGCTGAGGGCGGGGGCTTGGGCTTCGGGTGGCAATCCCTGCAGTCCTTGCAACACAGGCTCCAACACAGTGCCGACCACCAACCCTGAATACTCACTAGGAGTACTGGGGTGCTCTGGAGTGAAGGAGGAGAAAGGAGAGAGTGTGAGGCGGTGGAAATCCAATGGGCACCGGAGACAAGGGCACAGAAGGTAAGGACAAGGAAGGTGATGGCGGTGTGGAACCACAATTAGGGAGGACTTGAACCGTTCACACGCTGGGAGAGTGGGCTGCCCCGGGAGGGCGTGGAGGGGGGGCGGTGTTGTGTAGCTCAGTCAGTAAGGCTTGCTTGCCTAGCATGTGTGAAACCCCGGGTTTCGTCCCCCAGGATTACAGAGAAAGAGAGAAGAATTACCAGGACACAGTCGAAGCCTCCAGTACCGACCCTTTGGCATGTGGAGCTGGAAGCCCTGTGTGGCTTGCTTATAGCATTCTTGGAAAAAGAGATTCAGAGAGTCTTCGGGCAGGAGCTGTAGGGGAGGAGGAAAGAAAGAAGGCTCTACCGTTAAGACTCCCATCTGAGGCCTCAATGTGGCATCTGTAAAACCCGGAATCTTTGCATCTCTGTAGGAGCCGGGGCATTTTCTAAGGAGAAACATTACTGCTTCAACTGAGTTTTCCAGGTCTGGACCCAAATTCTGCACAATACATAGGATTATCAGCTCTTAGTTGAGCACGTGCCTGTATGGATATTCCTTTACACTGTGTGAATATATGTTCCTGTAATTGGTTTAATAAAGAAGCTGACTGGCCTATAGCTAGGCAGGATATGGTTAGGTAGGAAAACCAGATTAAGAATATTGGGGAAAAGGAGGAGGAGAAATCTCAGGAATTGCCAGCCAGACTCAGAAGAAACAACATGAAAAGTACATAGTTGAGGTTAAAAAGCCTTGGGGCAGCACACAGATGAATATAAATGAGTTCGTTTAAGTTATAAGCTAGTTGAAAAGAAGTCTAAGCTACTGACCAAGCATTTATAATTAATAATAGTCCCTGGGCCTTGTGTGATTATTTGGGAGCTGACTGGCAGGACAGAAAAGTCCTCCTACATGCCTGTACTCCCAGAATTTGGAAAGTGGAAGCTGGAGTATCAGGAATTGATGACCAACCTCAGCTACATAACAAGTTCAAGGCCAGCCTGGATCCCATCTCAAGAAATAAAAACAAAACCCAAATTGGTTTTATAACCTGTCAGAAGCATATAGTAGACAGATGGGGCTCTGATCAGGCCAGGCAGGGCCTGAGGTAAAGGGTGAAATTAAAATGACCTGGCTACATCCTAAATGGAAGGCAGTGGATGCAGACCATGGTCTATGGCTGTGTCACTGTCCTGGCATTTGGGAGCCTTTGGAATGCCCTTACATTAAGTGCCCTTGAAATAACCCACAAAGCAAATAATCCGTAGAGTAGGAGGGGCTAGCACAGCAGGCTGTGCTTTGTGAAGGAGGAGGAGACAGCACTGTAAGGATCTCAGAGAAGAAGAATCTGAAGAATGGGGCACTTGGCAAAAGTTCGGTAAAAATGTGAGCTGAGCACACTGGCAATTTAGTACCAACTTGCTTTCTCTGACAATTCCTACACTCCTTTTCTGACACACACAGGCCCATGCCCATACAGAAGAGGGACACACACACACACACACACACACACACACACACACACACACACACGAGACAGAGAGAGAGAGAGACAGACAGACAGAGAGAAAGAAATTCATGAAGAGGGAGCAGGAGGGAGAGAGGGAAAAAATTAAGCAAGTGCATCCTCAGAACAAGCCTATCAGCATTGGTTATCCAAGAAGATCCTATGGGGAACCCACCCTCTGCTACTCCGACTCTGCCTGCTACTCAGGTTGAGAACTGTCCTGCTACTCAGAGGCTGCCAGGCCACCATTTAAGCCTCAGGTACTTTATGCAACACTCTACAAGCTCACACCTGCCAGGGTGCTCTTCTGGGCTCCTAAGAACCTCGCTCCCCATTGGGCCCTACTCATGATGCCCCTCCCCTGGGACATGATTTTAAAGAGATAACAGTAACCATTGATGGAATTCCAAACAGTTGCTGGACTGGGATTCGGGAGAACTAACGGGGTCCACAGCAGTAAAATGCTTGGTCAGCAGAAAAATGGGGCGAAGGAACGGAGAGTCGGCATGAAACCCACGGCCACACAAAGAGAAAATGGAAAGACCCTCATAGTCTATATATTCCACAGTAGGAAGCAATAGTGTGCAAACAGAGTTCAGACAGAATAGCGTCATCAGTAAGAGGGACTGATGGCATAGCTTGCTGGCACAGTTACCTAGTACACTTGAAACCCAGGCATGATCTAGAGAGAGGGGAGAAGAAACAGCCAACCATAGGTGGAATTGCTCTCATTACAGGCCTTAAAGGACACGTTAGTTTTTAACATGTGTGCAGGTATGCTTACATATAGAGAGGACAACTTGCAGAAATCAGTTCTCTCTCTCTCTCTCTCTCTCTCTCTCTCTCTCTCTCTCTCTCTCTCTCTCTCTCTCTCTCTCTCTCTCTCCCCCTCACATGGGTCCTGGAGATCAAATTCAGGTTGTCAGACTTGGCAGCAGGCACCTTCAACTAATAAACCATTTTGTACCTTCTCCCCACCCCCCTTCCTGCTAATAATTGAAATCAAAGAAAGACTTGATGCCCAGTCAGCAAATACTTTACTGCTTAGTTACAGATCCAGTTTACACTTCACCTTTTTGTAAAAAGAAAAAAAAAAAAAAAAAAAAAAAAAAAAACCTGAGACAGCCTTGGCTGTCCTAGAACTTGCTCTGTCGACAAGGCTAGTTTCAAAACTCAGAGATCCGCCTGCTTCTGCCTCCCCAGTGCTGGGGTCAAAGGCGTGCGCCACCAGTGCCCACCTACATTTAAGTTTTTAAACTGTAGATAAGTACTACTACAACAAAACTATAAATTAAGCCAATGCGATGTTGCACACCTTTAATCTCAGCATTCAAGCAGCAGAGGCAGGCAAATCACTCTGTTTAAGGCTAGCCTTGTCTGTACATCGAGTTCCAGGCCAACCAGAATGACATGGTGAGACCCTGTCTCAACAAAGCGCACACACACACACACACACACACACACACACCACAATCTTAAAGAGAGAAGAACCATTGAACTGAACACTAGTAGGAAGAGTGGAATGTAATTATGGAATGTCACTTTCTGCAGCTGCTAATGAAGTAAATCTAAGCAATGATGTCAGTGGCTACCACTGTTAGCAGGTGGCAAGGGGTTGTGAATCATAATTGACCATGAGCTGATTAACGTTATTATAACCATATTTGAAATTTTTCCTTAGTAAAGACTAAGGCAGAACACGAAACCAACAAAGAAAATCATGAGTTTAGTGGAGATTGCAAGGTACAGAGGTTCTACTCTGTTCAATGCCCACACCTGTTCCCTAGCAGGCACACAGCTCTCCCCTGGCCCTGAGCCCTCCCTCGCCCCTGCGCCCTCCCCGCCCCTGAGCTCTCCCCGCCCCTGCGCCCTCCCTCGCCCCTGCGCTCTCCCGGCCCCTGAGCTCTCCCCGCCCCTGCGCTCTCCCCTGCGCCCTCCCTCGCCCCTGCGCTCTCCCCCGCCCCTGCGCCCTCCCCTGCGCCCTCCCTCGCCCCTGCGCCCTCACCCGCATCTGTGCAGTCAGCTTCTGAATCTCCCGGCTCAGCGGCTGCTCCACCTCCAGGGTTAAGGTGGCCTCTGAGGCCAGGCTGCACAGATCTTCCACTACCCCAAGTAGAGGCTTTAGGTGGAAACAGACAGTGAGGGCTCAGTTCGGGCCAGGCTGTTCCCTTCCCTGCTCCCAGGACACTCACAGGCAAATCCTTTTGGATCAGGGTCAGGAAGGGGCCGGGGGCCCATGCTGCCAGGTGCTGCCGAGCTCTGCCCAAGAACCAGAGCAAGGTGGTCTGCAGGGCACAGAGCCCCAGAGCGGCAGGTGCAGGACCTGGAGGGGAGAGCGGAGTGTCCTGGGGCCCATGGTTGCTTTCAGGCGAAGGCCAGCTTCAGAACGAGGGGAGGACAAGATGTCAACTGCTCTGCCTCCTACCCCATGCACACCCGTCTCACCTGGAGGCAGACACGGGCTAAGTTCCGACCTAGGCTCTCGAAGGGTGTCCAAGATTGGAGGGAAAAGCCCCTGCAACAACTCAGCAGTAGGAGCCAGTGATGCAGGGCCACTCTGACCCACCAGGGATGATCCCAGAGCCTGGCAGAACCCTGGAATGACACAATACGGTCTGCAGGGGGCAGCAGCCTGACCTTTGCCCCCCCCCCCAGTGTCCCTTTCTCCTTACCTTGGTCCCAGTTCCAGGTGAGAGCCTGATGAAGTAGGCTGTGACACAGAGCCAAGACCGCCTTTTCACACTCTTGAGGCAGGGACGCTAACGGGAGAAACGACGGGAGCCTGAGAACAAAACCTCCCTGTTCACAGCCCCTGCCCGCTCCGTGGTTTGACCTGCACCACTCACACCAAGGGTGGGCAGTCAGGCACAGTGGCTCTCGGCCTGTGGGAAGCCGAGGCGGGAGGGAGCTCGAGGCCACCTGCCTCAAAACAAAACAAAGTCGGCTGTGGAAAGCAAAGGCGGGCCTCGCAAAACCTTAACCCGTACAATCAAACTCAGGGAAGTTCATTCTGCAGGACCCGCTCTTGCTGACAGGCTAGAGGCGGGTGGCTAGGGTCACCACAACCCCCAAACGCCGGCGCGGGGCCCCTCGCTCACCTCGACACAGCGCCTGACTCAGCCGCTGCGCCACCGCCCCGAGGTCTCCCCAGGGTGCCACGCTGAGCTCCAGACTCTGAGCACAGGCTCCCCACAGCAAGGTCCAGTACTGGCTCCACAGGGCTCCAGGCCCCGCAAGCCTCAGCCCGCGGCTGTCGCTGCTAGCCTCGCCCCCTATTAGACCCAGCAGCCCGGGCAGCAGCTCCCGCTCCTCGTCGCACTGCCCGCGGAGTTGGTCTTGCAGGTCCGGCCCAGCAAGGGCCTCGGCCAGCCTACGCGCCACCCGACATCCCCGCTCCGCAGCCAGGAGGTGGAGCACACGGGCGGCGGGGAACGGGCGCGCGGCCCCAGGGGCGCAGCTCACTGCTCGTCCCTGCAGCTTGTGGTAGAAGGGCAGGGCCAGCAACAGTTCGGCTAGCTGGGACGTCAGGCCCAGGCTGGCGGGTGCCCGGCCCAGGGCGCGAAGCTGCGTCTCGATGGCAGCATCCAGGCACTGGGCTGCTAGCCCGACCGGGCGAGCCAGGAGAAGCGTGTCCGTGGGTCCCGTGGGTCCCGGGAGGCCGAGGCGCGGAGCCGCCCCACGCGGAGGGCGCGGCTGCAGGTCCCCGTGCAGCTGCGGCAGGGAGAGGGCTGCAGCCGACGAGCTGGAGCGGAGCAACCGCACGGCCGCCTGCAGGTGGCGGGCGCCGTCCCGGGCCCGCAGGAGCCGCTCCCGCTCGCGATGCAGACGGAGCAGCGCAGCCCGGAGCCGCTGCAGAGCGAAGGGCATCGGGCCGCTCGCCGGAGCGGGCTCCCACGGCTGTCTGTCCGGGTTCGGGCGCGGGACGCTCCCCGCAGCCAGCAGCCCCGACCCTCGGCGAACGCCCTCGCCCCGCTCGTCCCCAGCGCCCACGGGGTACGCCCACGGCGGGGGTGCGGTAGAGAGAGGAGGCAGGAGGCCGCCGGAGCGGGGCGCCCGGGCCATGGCACGGCGAGTCCCGAACGAACCTAACGCCCGTCGCCTCCCCGCACCCGCGGGCGCCGGGACGCGCAGGCTTGCAGCCGGAAGTCTCGTGGCCTCGTCCACTTTCCGTAGCCGCGGCGTCTGCCCCTAACAAAGATGGCTGCGGCTCGCGTCTGCCCCCGGCCCCCGGCGGGCACCAAGTTCTAGGCCGACGGGAGGGGGCGCTGATGCCGAACGGAGGAGGAAGAGCCAGTCCAGCTGGGCGGGTGAGGGGTGTGACCAGACGGCGGGACGCCCAGGACCGGCCCCTTGAGTGAGTCTACCAGGGTCTGGGCATTTCCAGGAGGCGGAGGATGGAGAGCTCGGGCCTCTCCATCTCGGGCTCCCAGCCGGGTTATCACCTTCCTTTCTGAAAGACTTCCCTGTGGTCCGGCTGCCATCCGCGGGGGACCCCCCCCCCCGTGGCTCCCGACCTTGCAAGGAATTTGGGTCCTACAGAAAAGAGGGAAGAGAGACCCCAGCTTTCTTTTTGTCCTGACCATCGCCTTCATGGTTGTCTGTGCGTCCGTGGTTGTTTTGCTATGGTTCTCTCCTCTTGGAGTCTCACTTTGTAGGTTCCTGGCTAGCCTGGAGCTCGCCGTGTAGACCAGGCTGATCTCGAAATCGCAGTTGTCTGCCTGCCTCTGCCTCCTCTGCTGAGAGGGAGGGAGGGAGGGAGGGAGGGAGGGAGGGAGGGAGGACAGCCAGCTTCCTTCCTGTTTTGTTTCAGTCAGCTGCGGGCTTTGGGAACCAGCAGGTTCCGGCCCTACACAATAAAGATTTTTAAGCAAACAGACAGCAAGGGACCCTCCAGCTGCTGCTCATACAATGCTCAAACTAGGCAGAATTGAGCACTTGAGGGTCTCGTGGTTGGGGCCTAGGCAGTGGTTACAAATGCCTTTGGAAAGATACTATGATCAGAGCACAATTTGAGCAAAGATGCTAAAGCAAGGGAAAGAGAATATCACTATAGCCCAGCACTCGGGAGGCTGAGACTGGAGGATTTTCATGAGGTAATCGACAACTGGCCTGCATAGTTTCAGGCTAGCCTGGGCTACAGTGTGAGACCCAATCTCTGAGAGTTGCTTGAAAGGCCTCAAGAGTTTAGATTTCCTGAGGTATATGGTACAGTTACTGGGAGAGACAAAAGCATCAGATATGGGGGCATTGGCAGGCTAAATTTCCAGTTGCTTTCCTGGTCATTTCCTGATTTATTTAGAGAATCTCAGTTAACAAGTCCTCAGGCTAAGGATACAGGTCCACATAGAGAATTGGCCCCAGCCTCAGATTCCCGAGTCCCTCCCACACAAAGACAAGTCTAAAAATTAATTAATTGACACTGAAGAGATTCCTCCAGTCATGAGGAGGACCCCATTCAACTCCCGGCACCCACATCAGATGGCTTGAAATAGCCGGCAACTCCATTCTTGGGGGATCTGATGGCTCTGGTTCCTGAAGGCACCTGTACATACCTGTACATGCCCCGCCACCCGCCCCCAGATACATATAATTAAAAAATAAAGTAAAATCTTTTAAAGTTGTTTATTTGGTTGGGTTTTTTTTTTTTTTTTTTTTTTTTTTTTTGCTTCATAACACAAACCTGTTTACTTAATAAGAAAAATCTTGAGAATCCTTCTGTGGTCCTTTTACCTCAAAAATTTCACTAGAATGGTGTTTGTTTTGAGAGGGCTGATAAGACGACTCAGGCAATAAGGACACTTGCTTCCAAGACTGACAACCTAAGTTTTATCACTGGAACCAATGTGATAGAAGGAGAAAATCACACACACACACACACACACACACATACACACACACAGACATACTCACACACTCACACACACAGACAGACATACTCACACACACACTCACACACACATACACAGAGACACACATACATACACACACACACTCACACACTCACACACAGACATACTCACACACTCACACACACTCTCACACACACACACACACATACATACACACACACTCACACACACATACTCACACCAATAATAATGAATAAAATAAACATCCTTCTATTCAATGAGTATCTGGTGGAGGCATCAGTCACACCTAACACAGTTTGTCACATCCAAGATGTATAAACAGGGATACAGTGGAATGAAGAGGTCTCTCTCTCTCTCTCTCTCTTTTAAAGGAATGACAGAGACAGCCTCCCTGATAACCTGATGTTTAAGCCAAGATCTAAAAGGCAAGAGACACAATCCATTTGCTTGGGAAAGATCATCCCAGGTAGAGGGCGTAAGACATGCAAAGTCACAGATGGTGTGTTATAGGAACTTCAAAGTTGCTTAACTGATTCAAGAAAAGCTCTGGCCAGTGTTGAAATAGATTGGGCATCATTCAAAGTGGGCTGCCACCACAAAGGAGTCTCGATGTCACTAGGTAAGAGAAACCTTACTAAACAGGACAAGGAGTTGAGCCCACAGTGTTCCCAGAAAGGCTTAGGATTCAGGTGAAAAATACTTGAGATTAATCATAAAAGAGCTTTTAGGACAAGGGATGCTAAAATTACACTTTGTAGCTAACCACTGAGCAAAGAGACTGAAAAAAAAAAAAAATGAGAAGAGATGGAGGCCTAAAGAGGCAGGAATGTCGATATTCAGATCCACACAAAAGGTCTGTGTAAGAAAGGTCAAGGAAAAACACAATCAGAAAGCTTAGATATTGTTGACAACCATAAATCAGATTAATGAGGGTAGGCAAAGCTCCAGAAAGTCAAGGTCCAAATCACCAAACAGAGAAGCCACAAGTGAGTCAGACAGAAGAGAGATTCCAGGTAGAAAGAAGAAATCCACTGTTAAAAGTGGAAGGACAGGGCATTCCAAGAGACGATGTCCTAACACCCCTCTCCTCGGTGAGAGTTAAAATGCATTAGTAAATGTCTTTCCTATCTAGAATTGCAATTACACAGTTAATATACAGAGGTTTTTTTTTTTTTTGGGGGGGGGGGTCTGTATGTTCTTTCTTTTCTGACATTTCTTGTTTGCAAGGCCCATATTCTCTAACATCAAGGTCATTTAGATAATATGTCAAGGTTTTTGCTAGAATGTAAAGGTCTTTTGTTGTTGTTGTTTTGTTTTCTAACCAGAGGGATAAAGAAAAGTTGTAAAAATCGGAGCAAAGAAAATGCTTGCTTAAGACTTGCAAAGAAAAAATTCAGTGGCTAAAAGTATGGGTGCAACAGGGCGGTGGTGGTGCACGCCTCTAGTCTCAGCACTAGGGAGGCAGAGGCAGGTAGGTCTTTGTGAGTTCTAAGCCAGCCTGATCTACAGAGCTAGTTCCAGGGCAACCAGGGCTGAGAAACCGTGCCCCCCCCCAAATGTGTACAGGTAATCTTAATGTGTTGCAAGGTGCTGTGTATGTTATTTGGAGTTGACTGTTATTTAGAGGGATGAAATAAACATTAAATGGGAATGAGAGGATTGTTGGTAATGATCTAAGTATACAGTCATATTTTTTGTTAAAAGGGTAAAATTAACAGTGAATATTTTGGATAAGGGTGGATTTTTTATGATTAAAAATGATTTTATTCTAAGAATGAAAAATAAGTGATAGAGCCAAGCAATGAAAGCCTAAAGCCAAGTCACAAGGAGTCCAAATTAACTGTTCAAAGATAGAATTTAAGGATCACACACACACACACACACACACACACACACACACACACACACTGAATGATTAAAGTTTATTCCACTTTCTCAGATTGGACTGGAGAGATGGCTCAGCTGTTAAGGGCACTTTCTGCCCTCATAGAAAACCTGGGTTTGATTCCCAGACCCACATGATGGCTCACAACCATCCACAACTCTGATTCTGGGAGATCAGAAGCCCTTGTCTAACCTCCAAAGACATGAAGCATGCTCACAGTGTACCTACATACATACAAGTAAAACACTTAAACACATTAAGTAAAATAAACAAATCTTTAAAAAATCCCCAAGGTTATACTGTAGTTGAAATCTTCTTTGAGCCACCAACCAGCTCTCAAATAAAGACATGGAGACTTACTATTAATTATGAATGCTCAGCCTTAGTTAGGCTTGTCCCTCTAGCTCTTTTAACTAATTTAACCTGTTCTATTCATCTATGTTTTGTCTCAGGGCTTTTTATTTTTCTTTCATTCTGTATGTCCTACTTTCCTGCCTCCTCAGTGTCTGTCTGTCTGGCCTCTGGCATCTTAATATTTCTTTTTCCGTTCTTCCTCCAGCCTCTAAATTCCTCCCCCTATTTACATTCCCTGCCCAGAAGTCCCATCTATACCTCCTACCTCCCTATTGGCCATTCAGCTTTTTATTGGACCAATCAGGTGCCTTAGGCAGCCAAAGAAAAACAGCAACATATTGTTACATAGTTAAACTAATGTAACACATCTTTACATAGTTAATCAAATATTCTGTAACATTATACTGATCAACTTGTGATAAACTTCACACACACACACACACACACACACACACACACACACTTACTTGTGGAGGCCAGAAGAGTACACTGGGTGTCTTCCTCTATTGCTTGCTTGACACTTTGTTTGTTTGTTTGTTTGTTTTTTGAGACAGGGTTTCTTCATGGGTTTGGAGGCTTTCCTGAAACTAGCTCTTGTAGACCAGGCTGACCTCTAACTCACAGAGATCTACCTGCCTCTGCCTCCTGAGTGCTGGGATTAAAGGTGTGCTCCATCCACTTTCATCTAAGAAAAGTCAAGGAAACATGGAGCCAAAAGAAGTCAAAGAAGCCATCAAGGGGAGGGAAAAACCCAGCAATCAGTGAGAAACAAAGATAAGGGGAGCTCAGGAGAAAACTAATGAAACCGAAATAGTATTCCCAGAGCTCAGCGCACCGGAAAATGAACCAGTAAGGACCATAGAAAAACAGCAGAGTCTCAGACTGCTAGGACAATAACCGGAGGAGAAGCACTCAGCTGGTCTCCCACTAACAAAGAAAATGTTACCTTGATTAGAGAACACAGCCTGTGTCCCAACACACG